GATCCATCCTTCGAAATTCGATGTAGAATTGAACAGACAAGAAACCTATTTCAAAAATTCAAGCCTCTATTATCCAATAACTCATTAAATTTGGAAATCCGTGAAAAGTTTACAAGATGTTACGTATGGTCTGTACTTTTGTATGGATGTGAAACTTGGATTTTAAACGCCGATATCATGAATAAAATCGAGGCGTTTGAGATGTGGTTGTATCGAAGGATACTAAAAATTCCATGGAATAGCAAAACCAGAAACGAAGAAGTTCTTCGAAGAATGGGACATCAACGAACTCTATTAAATATTATTAAGAGGCGTAAACTAGAATATCTTGGACATATAATCAGAGGACCAAGATATGAGTTCCTTCGGCTAATTCTCAACGGTAAAATCGAAGGAAAGAAATGGATAGGACGGAAGAAACTCTCTTGGTTGAGGAATTTGCGGCAGTGGACAGGTTTGACAGCTGACCAATTGCTACACGTAGCACAAGACCGAGATCAGTATAACAATATTATAAGCATGGTAGTCGCCGACGTTCCGTAGGGATATGGCATTCTAAGAAGAAGATTTTTGCTGTGGCATAGGACACTTTATCTTGCGATACTTGATTTGAACTACTGATTGGTGAGGATAGATACATCGGAGATACAGGCAACCAAGCTCAAATATTTCGGTGCAATAATGATATGAACGAAATTAGACAAAGGGGAATAAAACACAGGAGTCAAAAAGACAGAACAATTATATACTAAATTTCAATAAGCGATGCAGGGGACGTAAATATTAGCACGTGTACGCCTCTAACAGGACCGCATATATGATTATCTTTTCGTTTGACCAGAAGTATTATCTTGTAAAATACGAAATTTATATTTTAATTTTGTAAAAATGCGAGACAAAGAACCTGATTGCTTCTAGTTGATATCAAACAACAGGAACCATTTATATATATACCCGGTATTTAGGCGACACACGCCTTCCGGCGTACTACTCTTGCCATCTCTTGCCGTAATACTCCACCATAGGCCAATCAGACATCAGCGTATTCTAGTCTAAAGGCCCGTTTTCACGCTACGTCTTATTGTACGTTTTGTTGGATAGGACAAATCCTATACAATAAAACGTTGCATGTAAACAGCAAAACGTACGTCTTGTCGGAAGGAAACACATAGTGTGTATACACTGGACAAAACGTACGTTTTGTCGTACGTTTTATATGACCAACAAAACGTACAATAAGACGTAGCGTGAAAACGGGCCTTAAGATGCAGATTCATTTAGAATTTTAAACTGCTGCGTTAGCCTTTTTGTTTTCTGTACACCGGGCTGGGGATCGAACTCACATCATTCGCAGTGAAGCGAATGAAAAACCGGCCGCCAAGTCCGCTTGGCTATCTGACCGACAGGACTGACTTACAGGAACCATTTATACACGACAAAAAACCAAGAAATTATTAAACAGATTCATGAATTAGCAAATAACTATAATATACAGTTTCAGATATCATGAAAATTCAAATTTCATATCAATACGAAATGTTATGCATCGATGAACACTTCATGCATTGAGCGAACAAGTCACAACCAAATGCATTTTAACAATTGATTGATGACCTTAACCGTTTTCAATGCGAAGGAATTGCAGTTGCTTTCTGACTGATTTTAAATTAACCTTTATGCTTGACTGGAAATCAATTCGTAGTACATAATTGATAATCATCAAATTCACACCTATTGTCGAAGTTTTGTTTGATATTGGCAACATTGCATTAGTCATACCAAAATTTGTTTACGCAAGATAACAAGAATGTTTTTTTAATTATCTACATAGTTTTAGCGCATCACGATTTCGTTTTAGAAGATAATGGGACTAATTTTATAATAATATAAATAATTATAAAATAAAAGAATTAAAAAAAATTACTAATTACAGATAAAATCTATGATGTGACAGTTTTTATGTAACATACTCAACTTGAAAAAATATTTTTCCGCAAATCGCCAGGAAATTTTGACATTCCTGTCAAAATTTCTTGAAGAAAAAGTCAGGACTTCCTTACTGTAAGGAAATGATATTTCCGTACAGTTGTTAGTGTTCTACATAAATGATAGAAAACACATTGCTTATAAGGAATTAATTTATATTTTGAAAACATCAAGTCATTGCTGAATACATTTTTAAGACCAATTTGTTATATTTACAGTAATTTGACAGTTAGTACAATTATTGAACATTGGAGGAACACTCTTAGAACTATGAGAAACATTTTGGACAACATGCAGGGTGGAAGTGTCATTTTGTTGAATATTTTGTACTGTGAAAATTTTATTTGCCACCTCAACCTTATTGTTAAGCGATTCTTCGATATATCCTTCAGCAACGTTTGATGACTTCCATCCGCCATGCCTCTTTAAACTAGTTATGTCGGCACCAGAGAACATTTTATCATTTTACTTTCGAGAACACCAGCAATTAAATTTATAAGCGTCAAGTTTGACAATTCAACCTCAATACGTTTCCATAGTAACCCAAGTAATTTTATTAGGAATTTCAAAGCACCATTTATTTGGGAATAAAATTATCGCGTTTTTTTTTTAATCAATCAATATCTATCGAATTTTAAACGATTTGCGGAAAAATAGTATGTTTACCTCGTAGGAAAAGCCACATTCCTGGGCTCTGTGTTGCTAAGTCTCGGCTTGCGCCTCGACTTAGCAATCTTCACAGTCGTCCAGGAATGTTAAGCTTTTCCTACCTGGTAAACAATGTACTATTACAAGCACTGATTACCTTCGTATAACATTTTTTCGGCCAAAATCCTTCGTTTACAACATCGTTTTAATCGTTTAAAAAAGACCAATTCTTTGATAGAAGAAATAAATTAGTAAAACAAAGATATAAACAGAAAAATAATTGTAATTTATTTACTTATATGGTTTTAAAATGAGATTCAATATTTATAAAATCAGAAATATGCTTAGTTTTTATTTATTTTTCTTTGTTTAGTAGGTTTTCAAATTCCTTAGAATCATATAACAATTCATCCAAAACATCTATCTCACTCTCAGATTATTTTTCTGCGTCATCTAGTTCATATTCAGCAGTACGACAATTTTCGGGACTCTCTCCATTACAATTTTCGCACATTTATTCGTCATTTTTAACAATAAATAATGATTTTAATTTAAGGAGAATACAAATACTTGAATATATAGGTTTTTAAGTAGTAAATGACGCCAGATTTGTCTGTTAACCTGAAAATACCTATTTATAGCTGGTATAAAAAATATTATAGCACATATAAATATAGGTGATTTTCAGGTCATTTAGGAGGATCAATTCGGATTTAGAAGAGGAAGAAACTGCGAACTTCAACTAGCAAGAGTCATCAGCGACACGAAGACAAGGTTTAACAGAAGACAAAGAACAGGAATGGCCATACTGGACATAGAAAAAGCATACGACACGGTTTGGAAGAAGGCAATAATCTTCAAGATGGACAGAGCTGGACTACCACATTACATAGTGTGACATGTATTTAACTAATAGAACTTTTCAAGTGTCAGCTGACCAAAATATGTCAATGTTTCAAGAAATCCAAGAAGGGATGCCACAGGGCAGTATTCTCTCGCCAATTTTAAATAACATATTTGTTTCAGATTTATCAACAGATCCAAGAACATCTACCCTCTACGCAGATGATACGGCAGTGTATTCAACAGGAAAGAACGACAGAAGAATAGTCACAAATATAGAAAATCACTTCGGAAAGATCACGGAATACACCGAAAAATACAAGATCAAAATCAACGCAGAGAAGACAAAATTCATCATGTTCACTCAGAAAAATAATCCACGAGTGCAAGAAATCACAATAGGAGGAAACAGGATCCAATCAGAAGATTCAGCCAAGTACCTAGGAGTCCAGTTCAGTCCAGGAGTAAAGTTCCAGTTGTATACACATAAAACCAAGGTTAAAACTAATGCTGCTAAAAAACGAATACTTCCTTATATTTTTAGGACTAGTCCACTAACAAAGGCCAAGAAGATCCAATTATACGCCTACGTTAGATCGGTGATACTATGTGCTGTCCCAGTCTGGAGTTCCATAGCGGAGTACAACTGGACAAGACTTGAAGCCACAGAAACATCATGTTACAGGATCATCGACGGATCAACATGGAAAGAAAGAATATCTAATGCAACTATCAAAAAATGGCTCCAGTATACACCACTGAGGGAGGTGGATGAGAAAAGGACCAGGTACTTCTTCCACCAAGCCACAAGAAGACTATTAAAGACCAGGGACATCCTCGCGAAAAATCGGATCCAGAGGATGTAGGTACAGACAAACCCACAGACTTATCGACCATCTGATCAGGGTCTAGCCGGGTGGTTGCTGAAGACAACCAAGCAGTAAAGTAGGTACGATGCCACAAATAAGTACCTACAGAAGAAGAAGCTAAGGAGTCAATAACAGAAAATTTAAGATCTGAGAGGAAGAAAACCAACATCAGGCGGTGCAACAGTGGGACGTCAAGAAAGAAAACTAAGATATCTTAAATTAGATTTAAGTGTGAAATGTATATATTATTAGGACACTAAATGTTTTAGTTTTATTCTTCTTTTTCTTTGTCAGTCAGTCCAGTCCTACACGAGCTCTTTTATTTTTAAAATAAAAAGTTTTATTTTAACCCTCGTTGTGGTTTTATACGAATTATCTTGTCTTTTTTAAGACAAGGTAACATTATACAGAGCGTCCGGCGTGTTTTAAAGGGGTTTAGACCCGATATTTTCCACTTCTAGAGGAACACAAAGTTCACTGAAGATGGGCTGATTAGTCCGAAAACGTTTTGAACTTAATACTTCTGGATTTTCAAATTTAATCCTAATTAAATATCCCAATTACAACAGAAGTGTTTTACTTTGATGATTAAGTTTTTTGTTAATTTATATATTAATTAAAAGTTTTTTTAAAATTCATTTTGGTTTTACTTACATTTCGAAGTTGGAAGTAATAAAAGACATATATTCTGGGGGCGGTACTAATCGCCCGTTTTATTCTAGCGTCGCTGGAACATAATTTAATTCGTTAGTTTAAAACAAGGTGAACCTTTTTACTTACTAATTGACTTTTAAGAACCTCCTTTTTATTTTACGATTTGTCACAAAGTAAAAGAAATGCTCAACTTCGTGATTCACTAAGAATTTATTGGGTATAAGCGGCTTGTAAGGTTTGGCCTGTATATTTCTACTTTTTGTTGACAAGTTCAACTATTATGTGATACAACTGATACACTGGAAAAAGTCAGACCTCTATAGAATTAATGACGCTATTTCTTTAATAAAATGTAAAATCTCGATTGTGATGTTTAATTTGTATATACATAATTATGTAGTATGATTCATGTTCAAATAGATTCTCTGATTAGTAATTTGTCATACAGAAGGTACTCTTTTCCAAAAAATTCGGTACTGCAGAGTTCGATAGTCCGATATCGTCCTGCAAAACGTATCGTTTGCCGGATTATACAATTCTTTTTGAAAATTGCTGGATTAAGTTTTTGTAGGATGATTTAATATAGAAGATTTTCGCAACAGGCAGCATTTCTTTTTCTATCATTTTACTTAAAATATATAAAAAAAAACATTCCGATTAGTCGCATACACAAAAATTAATAATTAAATTATCACAGTTAACACATTTTAATACTGTTTCGCTGTCCACTTTAAATTTTGTAATTTAAAAGCTAGTATTATTAAGCAGTTTCAAATTATTTAACCATAAAGACAACAAAATAAACTCACCGCCATTTTTTATATATGTATTCCTGCAGGACACTACCACAACCGTCACACAAACTTGAATGAAGACGTCTTCGACTTGGACACTGATCTTGTTTGCAGAACAACCGGCAACGCTTGCGTATTGCTGGCTTCATCAATGTCGAAGTTGGAGGTTTGGAATTCGGTGTACAGTAGAATGTTTGTGGAGTGAGGATAGGAGATACATAAAAGGGGAGATACAAATTTATACCTAAAAAATAGCGGTTAAAAATAAAACGACTTTTTTTTACTGTATTAACTGTCTTCCGAATTCTTCTTCTTCGCGTGCCATATCAAAACTATCCGACGTTGGCGATCACCATTGCGAAGGCTTCTCGATCTTATGCAATATGGAATAATTGTCCTGCATTTGGTATCTGAGTCCATTCACGAATGTTTTTTAACCAAGAAACTTGTTTTCTTCCTACACCTCTATGGCCCTCTAATTTGCCTTTAAGGATCAGTTGTAAAATTTTATATCGACTTCCCCTTACTATATGTCCCAGATACATTTTTCGATGTTTAACAGTCTTTAGCAGTTCTCTGTCTTTGTTGACGCTCCTTAGTACTTCTTCATTAGTTTTTCTTGCTGTCCAAGGTATCTTCAGCATTCGTCTATGAACCCACATTTCCAATACTTCAATTTTGTTCATGATCGATACTTTTAGCGTCCACACTTCTGCACTATACAAAAGTACAGACCAAACATAACATTTAACCATTCTTTGCCTTAGTTCTAAACTGAGATGGTTATTGCAAACAAATGGCTTCATTTTCATAAAAGTAGTTTGTCATTGCTACTCTACGTTTTATATCTATGTCTGGATCTAGTTTATTATCTGATAGAATTACTGTATCGTCTGCATATCTAATCACATTAAGTAGTTCCCCTTTGATTTTTATTCCATATGGTTGTCTCTCAAGTGCCTTTTTAAATAGCTGGTCCGAGTAAACATTGAACAATGTTGGCGACAAAATGCAACCTTGTCTGAGTCCTCGTTGTATGGGGATTTCATCGGTGTAGTTATCTCCAATTTTTACGATAGCAGTTTGATTCCAGTACAAATTTTTAATGACACAAATATCCTTGTCATCTATTCCGATATTTTTCAGTATTTGCATTAATTTTACATGCTGTACTTTATCGAATGCCTTTTCGAAGTCCACAAAATATGTAAATACATCTTTTCTTTGGTCACGGCATTTTTGTAATAGGACGTTTAGCGCAAAAAGTGCCTCCCTGGTTCCCATAGCATTTCTAAAACCAAATTGGGTATCTTCAAGATCTTCTTCGCGTTTGCTTCTAATTCTGTTGTGAAGTATTCTGAGGAAAATTTTAAGAGTGTGGCTTATTAGGCTAATTAATCGATATTCTGAGCATTTTCTCGCATTGTGTTTTAAAGATATTGCGATAAAGATGGATTTGAGCCAATCTGCGGGAATCACTCCGGTGTTATATATTGAATTAAAAAGTCTTACTACTACTTTTATTTTATCATTCTCTATTAGCTTCAGCAACTCAGTTGGTGTATCATCTGGACCACAAGCTTTTCTAATTTTAGCATTATTTATAGCATTTTCTACTTCGCATTTCATAATTTCTGGGCCGTCAGTACAGTTTTGGTAGAAATCGACAATATTATTCCTGTCATCTTTAAACAACTCTGATATATACAGCTGCCATTCTTTTCTTATTTCTTGCTCATTTACAATAATTTTGTTATTAGTGTCACCAAGTACAGAGGGAACTCGTTTTTTAAATATTTTATCAGTCGACGTTGTTCCATTATTTTCAAGATGTACATGAATACTATATCAATATTCTAAATGTAAATAACAATCTAAACATAAAAATCCACTAGGAAACTAAGTTCCTGTAGCTGGCTGTATACCATATATCACAAAAAATTTATTTCAAATCCTTTATAAAAGGTATATAATAAAATGCCCAAACGGGCTATCACAATTACATTACAAAATGTTTTCGGATTGTTAAATCCATCATCAGTGTAAACGAGGTATACATGCTATGAGCCACCAAAATATATGGGTCAAAACCCTTTAAATGTTATAAATTTACAGTTGCTTTACATTATATATGGTTACAGATTATCGTTGGAATTGGTAACATGGCGACGTATGACCCTACATAGGTAAAAATGTTTACCTATGTAAAAACGTAAAATTTTTACCTATGTAGGGTCATACGTCGCCATGTTACCAATTCCAACGGTAACTTAAACATCATAATCTGTATGCACTTCCTCTGTCTGAAACCAAGCACTTCCTCTATGCTGATGATCTTGCAATATGTGCTCAAGGAGATAGTTTTGAAGAAGTGGAGGAGAAACTCGAAACTGCCCTAAAAACAATGACAGCGCACTACCTGCAGAATTCTCTAAGACCCAATCCCTCCAAAACCCAAGTCTGCGCTTTCCACCTTCGCGCAAAGGAAGCCAAGCGAAAACTCCAAATTGTGTGGAATGGTAATACATTAGGACACACAAATCTAGGAGAGGGAAAGTAACAACTAGGAATAGCATACTCAGAAAGCTAACAGGAAGTAAATGTGGCGCACGTCCGGGCGTTTTAAGAACACTGGTACAGGCACTGTGTTTCTCAATTGCTGAATATGCGTGCCCCGTTTGGGGAACATCTGCCCATACCAAACAAGTTGATACTGCGCTAAATGAGACATGCAGGATAGTAACGGGGTGCATGAAACCAACGCCACTTTTAAATCTATATAAAGCACCGGGTTTTGCAGAACCCTCAACACGCAAAGGCGTTGCAGAGCACATAGAGAAAATTAAACAGATCGCGGACAAGCGACATGCCCTATTCAATGCTCGAACACAACGAAAGCGACTAAAATCTAGGAAAAGCTTCATTGGAACAGTGCAGGATGAACCGCCTGAGTATTTTCCTCTTCCCCAGGTTCAATGGACCGGCCAGTCCCTAGACTTTAAAACGTGGAAAACTATGAATAGGATAAGAACAGGGGTCGCTTATTGAGAAATTATAAAGTTCTGGAACAAAAATGGAGATTTGATGAACAAAATAAAACACGTGTTTACTCTATGACTGTAATTTTACTACTGCTCTAAAAAAGGAAAGTGATACATTATTCAACTAGTAAAGTAGCCAATAGATGGCACTGCTAGAAAATATTCAAATTTATTTATCTATATCCAACACTCCCACTAGATAAACAAATTTAAAAAATATCATTTAACAAATATTTCTGACACTACATTAACTAAACCAATCTCTTTCAAAAACTTGTTGTGTTTTACAGGACTCAAGCTTTTTGTCAAGAGATCAGCTGGCATGTTAGCTGTGTCTAAATACTCCAGCTTTATCAAACCTTTGTTTACAGCTTCTTTGACAAAATGATATCGGATATCAATGTGTTTTGTTCTTCTATTCAATACAGGATTTATTGCTAGTTTCTGAGCTCCCATATTATCATTATATAGTATAACAATTTCATCAATACCCAACATTTCATACAACAAATTCTTTAAAAAAATAGCCTCTTTAGCAGCTTCCGATACTGCTATATATTCAGCTTCCGTGCTTGACAGAGAAACACTATTCTGTTTTCTGCTTTCCCAGACAATAGGTCCACCAGAAAACTGAAAATAGAAACCAGTATAAGATTTTCTGTCATGAGAATTACTCCCCCAACTCGCATCTACATAACCTTTCAAATAATTATCATTTTTTGAAAAACTTAATCCATACTCTTTTGTAGCCTTTAAGTATTTTAATATTCGTTTTACATGCTTCCAATGCGTTTCTGAATGATAATTATTAAATTGACTGAGATAACTTACAGAATATGAAATGTCTGGTCTTGTCAAAACTGACAGATACATAAGACCACCTATTAAATTCTGATAAGGCACTTGAGGAGATGCATTATCTTCTCTATTCAAACTTAAACTAATCTCCATTGGGGTAGCAACTTCTTTTGAATCCTCCATATTGAACCTTTTTAACAATTGTTCAATATAGGATTTTTGATCTAGAGTTATAACACCATTCTCTCTATTACGAGCTACTCTCATACCTAAACAATTCTTAATTTCTCCTAAATCTTTAATTTTGAAACATTCATTTAATTTCAATTTTAAATTATCTGATTCATCTGAATCGTTAGAAAAAATAAAAAAATCATCAACATAAACAGAGATAATGGTTTTTAGACTATTTTTCATCTTTGTGTACAGACATGGCTCATAATCAGATTTCTTATAACCTAGATTAATTAAGAAGTTATCGACTTTTTCATACCAAGACCTAGCTGACTGTTTTAAACCGTTTATGGCTTTCTTAAGCCTTAAAATTTTGTTATTTTCGACTTCTAAACCTTCAGGTATAGTCATGAAAACATTTTCCTTTAGATCACCATTTAGAAAAGCCGTAGCTACATCAAGATGAAAAATATCCAAATTCAAATTTGCTGACAAAGCAAATAAAAGTCTTAATGTAGAATGCCTTATGACTGGAGAAAAGGTTTCATTATAATCAACTCCAAACTTTTGAGTGTAACCCTTTGCTACCAGTCTTGCACGATATTTCACTTTACCTAAGTTGTCAACCTTTCGTTTGTATACCCACTTACACTTCACTACACAACCATCTTCGGGAACATCAACCACTTCCCATGCTGCGTTATCCTGGAAAGACTGCAGTTCTTCTATCATAGCCGCTAACCATAGATTACCATCTGGTCTTGACATAGCATCCTCGACACTAACTGGATCACAGTCACTATCCGAACACAAATAACTCACAAAATCATCAAACCTTTTTGGCTTAGGTATTCTGGTTGATCTCCTGATTTCATCTGGTAAGTTTGGCAAGTTACATAAGTAATCAGGATCGTTGTCTTCAGCAATTTCATCAACCGATGTGTCCTTTTCATTATGATGATTTTGTTCCTGACATGATTCATGATTATCTCCCACTGAATCTGATAATCCTGACAACTCTTCATCAACTGTGATTGAAACATCAACTGATTTTTCATTTATTACTACATCCCTACTTATAACAATATCTTTTATTTCGGGATCATATAATCTGTAACCTTTAATGTTGTCACTATAACCAACAAGC